GCTGTCATGTTAAACTTATATTAAAGTTTTTCTTCATTACCCATTTAAGCCGTCTCCAGCCATTAAAAGACTTTGATGTTTTTCAAAGTAGCTAACAACCACTTCTCACCATCTTGTAACTAGTTGCTTAACCATTTTGGTATAGTATAATGATTTCATATCAGTACCATTTGATGTAGGTACTAAGAGGGTACTTATGGTCAAGTATGATAAAGAAAAATGGGTATTGTTATAATGGCTTTAAAATGTAATAATTTCTGAGATTTATAATTAATTGATATAAGACTTCTTGAGAAATAAATGTTACTTCATGAGAAAACTAAGTGACTCAATTATAAAAAAATCACTTACTTAAAAGTTTCTACATTAAATACATTTTGCTGAAGTAATTTACAATATATAAATAAATATAAAATTGTAATGATTCCAGCAAAAGCTCCTTTCTTTCTCACCCTCCTTGAAGATGTTGAAATTACGCTAACTCTGAGTTCTTTACTAACTGTTCACTGATTTTTCACTGAAACTTTTTTTATTTTCAGATTGTATTTATTATAATCCACTTTTGTTATCATTTACTATTTTCCAATAGTTCCAGTACCCAGTTAACAACTTATGGAATGTACCGATAGGCCTATAACAGTGCAGGAAGTATAAAAGTATCTAAACAATGTGTACTAATAAAGCTATATCAGATAATGATAAAACTATGCTTATTAGCCCAAGCTGTAATACGCAACCACAATAGTTGTAAAATATTTATGCCATTATGATATAGTAATTTACAAAATGCACAGCACTTACCCTCTCTAAAAGGCAAAGTCCCAGAAATTTGAACATTTCCTCAACTATTTAATATTACCTTACATTCCTATCTTGTCCAGGTCTTAACCTCAACTGCTCTTCTCTTCTGTTGTACTTAGTAAAGGAGGTGAAGATATTTTATATTGAGAGTCCTAAACCTTATCCATTGTGAGAGTTTTGGTTTACTTCTTTTTACTAAGTTTGGAAGTTCTGTCTTCAATCTACTGTTAGGATCACATTAAAGTAAATTGTCTTCATCTGCAGTTTCCTCATTTGAAATATCTTTCAAAGATATTTTCAGTAGTAGGCCAAATTTTTTACAAGTTATCAACTTACTTGCTCTTTAAATCTTGTAATGTGCAATATTGATGTTCTTAGCTTTCATGTGTAGGTTTTCCTTCTTCAAAGTTCTCTTCAAGTCTTATAACTACACCATGTATCCTTGAAGGAAGCCTCACTTGTTTATATTTGTATCATGCCTTCCTTTCATCTTTTCACTTTCTGATTTCAAGTTCTTATAATGATTTATAAAGACTGTTAATAATATATTCTGTTCTTTAAATATATGGCATAGATTTGCATGAATTCTCTATAGCAATTATAGAGTTGTTTTTTACCAAACTGGAGAGATACAGTAGTGTAATGTTTAATTTTGTGTGTTGTATTTTAAAACTCACTTAGTAAAAGTGCCAGTGTCCCAGGTCTTATTGCCTTTCATCTCTATTGATATATATTACTTTCTGGATCAACTCTGTAAAGGTACATTGCTGTATCATGCCATATAAAAAAAATGAGATAGATACAGCACTCTCATGATATATTATTTTATATATGTGAATGTTAGAGTGAATGAAAGACATCCGTAATAATATATTCCTTTGAGGATGTAAATATGATCTCTTCAAGAGTTTTAATTGTTGTCTTTATTGGATCAGGTTAGGTAGACTTACTAAATCTACTATACTTATGTATTTTCTAGAAATGGAAAAGAGGTTAGTCCTGGTGCAATAGCAACATTTGGAGTTGATCACAAATCAGCTAAAGAACTTCGACAGTACTTAACTAATGTAGCTGAACAATGTGAGAGTAGGTAAGTTTTAAAGAATAGGGTCAATATCTGAGTAAAAGTCAATTTCTTTTTAACTTGGAGAATTATAAAACCTAAAGTTTTTAATTGTTTCATTTAATACATAATAAAAAATGTGAAATTAAAATAATTTTTTCTAAAGCCATAGAAAAAACTGAAACATTAAATTTTGTAGTAATAAAAGAAATATAAAAGCTTAGATGATATTTTATAGGTAAGAAATAAACTGTACGAGTTAAAAAGTTTATGCATTAATGTTTTGCTTCAATATATTTTATTTTTCCATACAATGGTACTAGAGGTCTACTTTCAAATTTATTACCCCTGATAGCTCAGCAGTAAGCTTGAGGGCTTATAACACTAAAAACTGAGGTTTGATCCTTGTTGTTGACATGATGTAGATGTTTTTTTTGTGCAGTATTACACTTAGCAACAAACAAATAATCTACATTCATTTCTTACAACCTTTTCTGAAAATGTTTGACATAAATGTCTGAGAAACAACATGTAAATTGTTCTATGCTCCATTTATATGATTCCATAAATTCTGTATATGCCACTTTTTTTTTCTTATTTGTTTCTAGTAACTCTTCAGATCTTCCAACTGTGATAATTCTGGATAATCTTCATCATGTGGGCTCCTTAGGTGAAGTGTTCAATGGATTCCTCAGTGCCAAATACCAAAAATGGTACTGGTGTTGTTATTATATTTTCAATTTTTCAATTTATTTATGAAAAATGTTATTTATCATACAAGATGCTTTTGAAAAATAAATAATTTTTATGTGTATGTACTTATGTGTGTGTACTTCCAAAGTATTTAATGGGAAATTTTTGCATCTGTTTTATACAGTAGAGTAACAAAAATGTATGTGATGGTAATGCCTAAAAGACTGCTGTTAATATTTTCATATTTTATAAAAATGACAATTTGTAAGATATTAGGTTTAATGCAGTTTGGAGATGTTGTGAATAAACGTCAAAGAAATATTTCAATTATTCACTGTATGAAACAGTCACTTAATAACTCACAATTGCTTGATTACATGGGAAGGACACAGCCTAATCATCCTTAACTATTGTAATTTTTTAAGATAAAAAATGCTATCTAACTATAAACTATACATTTGAAAATGTTGAAAATTGATTATAATGATTTCTATTTTGTAGTCCATACATTATTGGAACGATGAACCAAGCCACTTGCTCAACAACAAATCTTCAGCTTCATCACAACTTTAGGTAAGGTTTTCTTTTCTTTATTATAAACTTAAGAATTAAATCAAACTTTCATTAAAGTTTTATTCACAATTTATATACCTATCTTATAAATTTAATAAGGGTTTATTAACATCATTAAAAGTTCAGATAAATATTTTGTAACTTTACCACAACATCTTCAGGTAAAAATTAAGTACCTACATCAAAAAACTCAACTAAGAATTTTGTAGCTTCTCTTTAACTTGAAGTAATAATTTTAAAAAATCATCATAATTTCAGGTTAGGTTAGGTTTTTATAACTTTATGAAAAGGCCCATGTAAAATTTTTGATACTTTATTATCCATTCAAGTAACTTAAAAACCTCACAACTTCATTGAAGAACTTTGTGACTTTGTTTAATATGTAATTCAAATTGGTAAAAAAAATATAATTTCATCAGAAATTCAGGTAAGAATTTTGTGACTTAAAAATATTCAAATAAACACTTCATAGCACCATCAAAAATTTGTGTTAGTATTTCAGACATCTATCACAAACCCATAAGAGAAATTTATAACTATTATATATAAATTCAGATAAGAATTTTATATCCTTCCCTTGTCTTCAAGTAAGTATTTTATACCTTAATTTTAACACCACGTAAATATTATCTATGTCTTTCGTGTTAAATAAAGGGCAAAGTTATCATAACTTTCAATGATGAGGAACCCACTTTGAGACTAATAATGGTACCTGATGATGACAAAACCTTGTCAAAACGTTGTACATTTGCTGTTATGTTAAACTTATATTAAAGTTTTTCTTCATTATCCATTCAAGCCATTTCCAACCATTATTATCATAACTTTGCTTGAAAGCATATTCATCAAATAAATCCCACTCAAGGAAGAGCTAAATGAAAAATATCCCTAAGTAAGAAAGGAGATATTGGTATACATAATGAAACTTCATTAAGTTCATGTTTCTTTGAATGTTTTGGTATTGTCTTGTGATAACCTGCTTATAAATTTGAATCTTTTATGCTTGATATTTACCTAAATCTGTAATCAGAGTTGGAGTTGCTGATTCTAGCTGAGTGGAATCCAAATCACAATTTATATTCATTAGCTACTGAAAATATTTTATTTGGAAGTGAACATTAATGACAGAAAAAAATGTCAATAAAATATTTGCAATTTCTGGTTTTATTTATAAAATAAACACATTAAAAATTATTTTTGTTGTTTAGGTGGGTACTTTGTGCTAATCACATGGAACCTGTGAAAGGATTCTTGGGCAGGTACCTTAGAAAAAAACTTGTAGAACATGAAATCCAAAGTGGTTCACAGAACCAGGAGCTCACCAAAATCATTGATTGGATGCCAGAAGTCTGGGCACATCTGAACAAGTTCTTAGAAACCCACAGTTCATCTGACGTTACCATTGGTAAATTTGAAGTTTACGAAATGATGATTACTTATCTTTAGCCATGGGATTACATTAGATTTCAGCAGAGCTGGGCAATTTGCTAATTGATTAATTGTCAGACTTATTAGTTGATTACATTCAATTAATCTGTAGTTCTCAAGAGATAGAAAAAATATATAATGCAACAAATCTAGTTTAAAAACCTGTGGTGTCCAGAGCACAGATTCTCCATGCCATAGCACAAATTTTGATTACTTGGTTATCTTTGTGAACCATGATACTATATGATTAAACTTAGTTGAAAATAATAATGAAAAATATTTCAGTTACTGGATAGTTGGAATTATCTCAAATATTAATAATCGAAAACACTCATTTCTAGTAGTTTATTATATTCGTGACAATATTCAATTTAATTGTAATTTTGATTACTGGCTAATTGCAATAATTGAAATCAGTTACAATAGAAAATGCTGTTTTATTATTTTTGTGACATTAATTGAGTTAATCACCCAACTCTAAATTACAATACAAGTACTTAGTCATTTTACTAATTCTCATACACCAGGTACGTTTGTCATTTTCGCATGAAAATTATTTCACTTTTTCACTATCATGATCATGTATCTATATATATATATATAGATATACACACACACACACGTCCCACTTCAGGACATTTACATAGAAGTTTGGAATTTTACACCACCATGATGAAAGATTATTCCCCCTTCAAATTTCCCAAAGTTTAAAACTTAATATTTCAGATAAATAATAAAAATATTAAAACATGGGTCTTTTTGTTATTTATTGTATATCTAAAAATAAACCTGGCATTGTGAGAGTTGTTTATCTGTAAACGTGGCAATGAAACAGTTTAATGCTTTACAAACATGAAATCGAAATCATATTTATTATCAATTAGAGATAACAAACACTTGTGGATAGACTAGACATAAAAGCAAGCAAAAAGTGCAGTAACAAAGAACTTTTAAACTTATAGGAAATGAAATAGCAATCAAGCATAAAATTGCAATATAATTATAAACAAATGCAAATTATATTTATGAAACACCTGTGCCCCCAATAATGTGTACTCTATGTTTAGGTCCACTCAGTTTGATTGGTTTTGATCTTTGACCCATGAATTTCATAAACTAATCAGGCTAGAACTTTTTATATAGTACCTTTTATATTATTTTTGTCAATATCATGTTCAGAACATTGGGGAAGATTTACTATGTACCAATGATATTTTAACCTTAAACTTTGAACCATGTCGTTCAAACGTTAATCAGGTCTGGAGCTTTGCATGTAGTATCTATTTTATAGGTTTGATAAAAACCCTTTCAATCACTCTTGAGCTATTCTGTCCACAAGATTGGACATTTAAATTCTTTAGTTTCACAATCTTGTTTATTTTGCTCATATTTTTTGTACATTTCTACAACTTGTATAAAAGAAACTTTATAACTATGGTGAAAAATGGTAGGCTTATATTATTTTATTTTGTAATTACTAAAACTGGAATAAGAATATTCTGATAAATTTTCAATAAACATTTTCTGATAATTTTTGTAGTTCTGTATTTTGTTGTAAAATTATTAAATTAAGATTTGAGCCCATTAAATCTCTTGTCTGTTTTTTAAGATGTAGGATTTGTTTGTTTTAGCTCAAAGCTACACAATAGGCTATCTGCATTCTGTCAACCATAGGGAATCGAACCCCAGATATTAGTGTTATAAGTCCATAAACTTACCACTGGGACACAAGATGTATGGAAGACAACTGTTAATAAATATAGCATTATTTTAAAATATGCAGCCATTTACTCGTTGCTTTCTAAGATATATGTGTCTGTAAGGCTTAACTAACAATATGCTTTTAACTACTGTTGCAATCATTTTACTTTTTTGTTATATATTCTGTTTTTAAAATTTCATATATAAACTTCTCTCCAGGCCCCAGATTGTTTCTTTCATGTCCTGTAGATGTCGCTAGTACCCAGGTTTGGTTTACAGATCTGTGGAATTACAGCATTATTCCTTACCTTCTTGAGGCTGTCAGGGAAGGATTGCAGGTATAGTTTTTCCTCTGTGGTATTGGTATTTGTGTTATAATTTCAAAATCTTCTTTAAAAGAATATAATTTTAAAGAGACTTGTAAACCAGATTTTCAAGTAAAAGTATCCTAGTAACAATCTATTATCATCAATTTCTTAATGTTTCAACATTTGTTTTTGTATCTTATTGTCTCCATAAGGTAATTAGTTAATTTATGTTTATTATTATTATTATTTTTTATATATGTGGCTACAGGATCATTAGTACTCCTTTTTTCTCTCTCTCTCTTCATATTTGCAAAAATGTAATAGCCATTTACATCACTAAGCATCATTCTTTATATGTTTTCACTATGATATAATCACATTATCATTTGTCTTGTTGTTGTTTATTATTTTATGTTGTATGATTTTTAAGTGCTCATCATCTAGTCATATTTTTCAATGATGTAATTTACTTGTCATTGACTACTCTTCTGTATGATTAATTTCTATGGTCTTGTAGTTATATGGTCGTCGGGCCCCCTGGGTTGACCCTGCACAATGGGTTTTGGAAACTTACCCATGGTCCATTTCAGGAGAAGGTGAGTGGCTTCAGTTGCTACGATTACGCCCAGAGGATGTGGGGTATGAGAGCCATCCAGCTCCAGGAGCAACTACCAAAGGATCACATGGAGCTCAAAATGACATTGAAGGAGATCCTTTGGTAAGGTGGTTTTTGCAGTTAAAAGAAGCCAAAGGAATGATCGTATGATGATTATGATCAAGTATCATGTACAAAATGCCTCTAATCTTAGTAAAAATGGATAAAAAAGAAACTTGCTTTTGAAACTTGTGTTCTAAACAAGTCTAGGACAACTGCTGATAAACAACTACCAGTCAAAAGATCTAAGTAATCCAGATCTTTGGTCTGGATTATTCAGATGCAGAAATATAATTATATGTTATTATAATTATATATTAATATAATAACATATACGGAATTTGTAGAACTCATTTCTAATATTGTCGTATCGGCAGTTGTCCTGCTCCCGTTCTAAATGGTGAAAATACATACTGACACACCTAGTAGCCAAAGGGTTGTAAGTTATACTTATATATTTTGTACACTTATGTACAGACATTCACTGTTACATAAATTTTAGTAGAACCATGTTTCTAGTAAATACTGTAACTGTATAAAAGTTTTATTTGTTGTGAATAAATATAACTTTAGTGCAGCTTATAACTAACTTCTACATAATGGCATACAGTAATCATATGTTAATTTTATTGAATTAATTTTTATAATTACATTCTGTAAAATTAAAATATAGAAATTATTTTTTTAGTTTCCTTATACAAGATACACATAATTTTTTTCCTAATATTATTTAATAAAACATTCATAAAGATTTTTTGTAGTATGCCATACACTTTGATTTCCTCCAGATAAGAAAGCCTAAGGATAATGTTTTATTTACTTTTGTTTTTGAAAAATACTTAACTGCTTCTTTAATATTGTTTTTCTCCATAGCTCAATATGCTCATGAGATTGCAGGAAGCTGCAAGCTGCTCAAGTCCTCATGGTAATGAAGATGATACTGCTGTCAATGATCACAATCACACTTTTACATCTACAGACCTTGTGACTGGTGACACTGTGGAGTCCACACTTTAATTAAGAAGAACCATTGTCTATTGTCTCATAAATTTTAACCTATTTGTAAGAAAACTTTGGGGTTTAAAGAGAAGTTTGACTTGTATAAATACTTCAATATATTCATTAGTTAACAGTAAGATTTTTCAGTTTTGTAAAATAATCGTTTTTAAAAGTAAATGTAAAAATTATATAATGATTTTAAACTGATATTGAAGCTGTTATGTTTTATGAACAAATACAACTTATTTATCTAATTGCATGTTGGTGAGTGGTAAGGGAATGAAAGTTCTTTTACCTCATTATAAGATATGTTGTGTAAAAGATTCATAATTTCATGTAGCAATCAAATATACAGTAGGGATTATTTCCACTGCTAACTGCCTTGCTATCTTCCGTAAGTGTTTTATTTGATGGAACTATTATATTAAGAAATATTATTTAATTCAAAAATTATATTTTTACTTATTTTTTCTTTGATATCTGTTTTTAGGTTTACATCAATAAGGCAACTTGTCCTGCAAAACTAGGTATTGTAACATTTTGTTCATGTAACAGGTGCATTTATGTGTTGTGATATTTTATATAGTTATATTATTGAGTGTTTGGTGAAACTATTTATTTTTATTAATGAAAACTGAGTTTTATGTTTGTATAAATATTGGTTTGGTACTTCAACTTCATGTAGGATTAGTTTAGTATTTTAGGTGGGATCAGGCAGGAGACTATTTGAACACTTGATTAATACAGTAAGTGGATTAGAAGTTTTCATATTTTGACATAACATAACGTTTTGGAACAACATGGGACCTATTGGTCCATCTCAGCTGTTCCATCCTCTAAACTAAATTAAAACTATTAATAAATACATTTAAAAAAAAATCTCAAAGCCAGCCCCTATCATTCCTATAGTTTTCAAGGTTTCTCTTAAACTCACTTAAGTTTACTGTCTCTGTAACATCCGAAGGCAACTCGTTCTAAGGCCAACCTCCCTGTTAGAAAAAATAATTGTCATAGCTGAAGATGACTCCTACTCTGCCAAAGTTTATATTTGTGTACCCTAGTCCTACTATTCTCACTGTTACATATGCATCAACATTATCAATTCCCTTTACAATCTTAAACACCTCAATCAAATCCCCTTTATCTCTTCTTTTTTTTTCAATAGAAAGCAATTTCAGAGATTGTAACCTCTCTTCATATGACAACCCTTGCATCCCAGGCACTATTCTAGTAACCCTTCTCTGAACACTTTCCAACAATTCAATGTCTTTCCTAAGGTAAGGAGCCCAGGACTGAACACAGTATTCTAAATGTGGCCTAACCAGTGACCTATACAATGAAATTATAACCTCTTCAGACTTGTATTCAATATTTCTGTAGATACAACCTAAAATCCTATTTGCCCTACCACTAATAACAGCACACTACTTGGATGGCTTTAGAGACTGATCAACTATTACACCAAGATCCCTTTTTTTCATGACACTGTTAAGGTGATTCCCATCCAAATTATACTTATAATTTAAATTATGATAATCCACATATATTATCTTGCACTTATTATAATGAAAACCCAATTGCCATATATTTGCCCAACTCACTAAATGATCTAAATCTTTTGTAAATCAGCATCTTGGGTGTTGCTAGCTGTGAAGAGGATGCCCTTAAAATCATCTGCAAATTTAAGTAATTTATTGACCATTCCTTCATCTATGCCATTGATGTAAATCAAAAAGAGCAAAGATCCTATAACTGAGCCCTGAGGTACCCCACTTGTGACATTAATCCAATTTGACTGAACTCCATTTGTAACAACTCTCTGCTTTCTTCCATTCAGCCACTCTTCTATTTAATTAGCTAACTTATCTCCAACACCATAAGAGATAATTTTTTTACAAGCCTTTTATGTGGCACCTTGTCAAATGCTTTCTGAAAATCCAGATACACCAAATCTACACCCTTACCCTCATCTACATAAGCAGTAACTTTTTCAAAGACTATCGAAAGATTTGTAAGGCAAAATTTTCACTTAGTAAAACCATTTGAATCCATGTTGACGATCGAATAAATTTGTAAACTTTGTTAAATGACTTTGCAAGGCATCTTTTATCAGACTTTCCAAAACTTTTCCCACAACTGATGTAAGACCATTAGGCCTCTAATTACTGAGACAATTTTTATCATCTTCCTTGAAAAGTGGAGTAACATTAGCCGACTTCCAACCATTGGCACCTGCTCACTATTCATGGATTGACAAAAAATAGTAGCAAGTGGCTCATATATCCAATCTTTAACCACCTTCAAAACCATTGGGGAAATATTATCTGCCCCAGGAGCCTAATCATTCTTTAAATTTCCAAATGTTTTCTTAACCAGCTCAGAATTAATGCAGTCATCTTGTTCAATCTCCTTTCTATCTATCAACTGGTCAAGATGTGGAATACTACTTAAATCTTTGTTAGAAAAACTGAAGAAAAAGCAAAATGTCATCTCATAATCATTAGATAGAAGCCTTCCTTTATTATCTTCAAGAGTCTACCCCCATCCTAATATTTTGTTTCCCCTTAATGTATCTAAAGAAATCCATACTGTTAATATTTACTTTTCAGCCAACCTCTTCTCATACATCTTTTTTGATGTTCTAATTTCTTGTTTGACCAACTTTCTTGATCTTCTAAATCTCCTTTCATACCAGTCAATTTAAATTTCTTAAATTTGTGATACTTTCTATAATTTTATCTCTTATACCCTTTGTGAACCAACCTGACTTTTACTTGCAACCACCCTTTTCTTTCTATAAGGAATATGTTTATCTTGAATATTTAAAAAATTATCTTTAAAAATTTTCCACATCTGTTCAGTGTCTCCAACTAACTCAGCTGCCCAAGTTAAAACATATGATTATTTTCACATCCCTTCAAATTTGCATTATTTGGAATTTGTAACCAGAATATCATTCCTGATCTCCATTTTCAGCAAAACATAGAACCTAATAGAGCACTGATCACTTGCACCCAGATGTTCCCCAATTTCCACCCTCTGAACATTTCTGTATAACAAGTTAGCAATAAATCCAAAATAGCATTATAATACGTTAGCAAACACCAATTCATTAACACAAGTAAATGCTTTATTGATGGTGGAACATACTATATGTTTTGACAGAACACTGGTTTGTCTTCATACATGAAGATCAATGTTCTGTCAAAACATGTAGTATGTTTCACCATCAATAGAACTTATGCTTATGAATTATTGTTTACATACCAATTATTATATTAGTATAATGTGCTTCTTTACTCAAGTAAAATAGCATTGTTTCTAGTAGGTTCCTTGCCCAATTGGTGAAAAAAACCATCTTGAATAATTTACAAAAACCTTTTTCCCTTGTGGTTTGACTAACATTTCCTAAATTATATGTCTGAAATTAAAATCACCAATAATTATGACCTCATTAACATTTCAATTCGTAATCTCATTGTAAAGTTTCTCACTAATTTCATCAGTATCACCTGGTGGTATATAACAAATTCCCACTAAAAGCCTTTTCCATTTATATCCACTAATAGAAACCCAAATGGATTCAATCTCTTTTCTATTATCTTTGATATCTTCAACTTCAACAGAATGTAACTCACATTTTGTGTATAAAGCCACCCCTCCTCCCCTCTTTAGTACTCTGTCTCTATTAAATAGCCTGTATACCCGATTTCTGTCATCAAAACCATCTATGTTTAACCATGTTTAAGTTATTCCCATTATATCAAAATCCTCCATTACTACCAGTGCTCTAATGTCATCCGTTTTATTTCTTATGTTTCTAGCATTACAATAGTAACAATTAAGCCTATCCTTAGAACTATTTCTATACTTATTTCCTATGTTAAACTTTTCTTTACATTTTTTTTTTCATTTACTTTATCCTGGCCCTCACCACTGTCTAGTCCTAGTTTAAGTGTTTCCTTACAGCTGAGTTAATAGTCCTTGCTAACAAGCCAGATCCTACCATATTTAAATGGAAACCATCTATTCCAAAAAGTTCCCTTCTCTCATTAAACTGATCCCACAAGTCCAACCAGCATATCTGCTCGTCCTTGCATACCTAGGATTACAATACCTTCTAGCATTACAGTAGTAACAATTAAGTTATAATTTCATCACCACAATTAATTCTCAGCAGTATCCCTGACACAATTAAGTTACGGACCTTTTCTTTAAATGCCTTTATCAACCCCTCCTACTTACAAATTAGCCCCTCTGACTTACCTTACCATACATCATTAGCCCCTATGTGCACAACAGAAACTGTATCAGTGCTAGCCCCCTCTATTATATCTCTTCCCTTGTCAGTTATATTCTCCACCTGTGTACCAGGGTAGCATAATCTAATTTATTTCTCCCTATTTACCCCATAGACTATCCTATCCACATGCCTCTTCAAGGAATCATCTATAACTGTAACTTCCTTAAGTTTATCATCCACATCTTTCTCTGTCCCTTTTGTTTTCCTTCCCTCCAATAGTTCCTCATCTGCAGAAGCCAAGGGCTGAAAAACCTGTTGCTCAGTAGAACATGCTCATTACAATTAAATCCACTACTTTTAGCCCTAATAGTACCCTTTCTAACTTCCTGAAAGTCATCATTAGCTGATGTATCCCTTGCATGTAAAAGTTTAAGCTCCTCTTGAAATCCTGCTGCTGTTTCCCACAGTTTACACTTCTCTTTATATATTGCTACTCTACACTACAATATAATGTAACAAATCAATATGATAAAAAGGCCACATATTACTTCTACAAAATAACAATAATAAAAGAAACAGGCCAAACAGAATTATAATATAACAAATAGACCATGTATGACCAGAAATCAACACAATAATATAACAAACAGACCACGTAATGCTACAATATAACAAACAGACCATGTAGGGTTAGAAATAAACAATAATATAAGCAATGTAGTGCCATAATATAACAAAATGTGTGTAAAGGACTATCTATACAACAAAAATGAGTAGTTGCATATTGTTTCTTTCCTGCTATCTATTTTTACAATATTAACACAAAAGGCCTATAAAAACTGATGAAGGCTCACCACTCAAATTATTACATTAACACAACATTGTACAAACACTGTAAAATACATTTACCAAAATCACTTCACCAGTTTTTTCTTATTATACACGATGGTTATATTAAACAATAAATGTATGTTTCCTATTCCAAATCTATTTTCTCATAAAATATTTCTTTATTCTGTTTTGATGCAAGGTAAACATTACGATGCTAATTGTAAAATACAACTTACATTAAAATATTCACATAAAATGTATGTTAGTCAGTCAGAAAAAAGATTCAGAAATTCTCCATACAATAACTATGATGCATTAAATTAGGACATTGAAAAGTAAAAATTTTTATATGTAATTCTTGTTAAGAAGGTGTTACTTGTTAATTAAGCAATGCCAGTCTTTGGTAAGGTTTTATCTGTTAAATAATAATACAACCTTTGTTATGGACTTAACTTTTAAGTAATGACACAGTCGTGGTTAAGAATGTGTTACCTACTGAGTAAGGAGACAGCCTTTGTTAATTTCTTACCTATTAAAGAATAACAGCCTTTGTTAATTTCTTACCTATTAAAGAATAACAGCCTTTGTTAAATTCTTACCTATTAAAGAATAACAGCCTTTGTTAAAGTTACTTACCTGTTAAAGAATGACACGGCCTTTGTTAAAGTTACTTACCTGTTAAAGAATGACATGGCCTTTGTTAAAGTTACTTACCTGTTAAAGAATGACACAACCTTTGTTAAAGTTACTTATCTGTTAAATAACGATATAACCTTTGTTATAATCTTACCTGTTAAATAATAACACAACCTTTGTTTTCTTTAAATGGATTTTCCGACTGACTGATGCCAGTCACTAGAATATCACCCTTCTGATGTTCCATGCAATACTTGATCAATCTAAAATTCAATAATTCTATTCAGAAAATTTATGCAGTAAAAAAATCCTTAGCAAATATATTATTTTTGTAAAATAAGACTCTGTTAGAACATTTGGAAAATGAAAACATTCATATGTACAGCTTACATTATCAAATTAGAAGCAACAAGAACAAAAATGGACACAACTATACAACCTATAAAACTTTTAACCAGTCAACAATCTGATGATGTTAATCTTAGATTCCACAATATTCCATTGACTTTAAAAACAGATGGGATATCTCTCAGAAATATATTATGTATATAATAAAAACCATAGCAGTTATAACAATGTTTAAAATACTACTGATAGCACTACAAGATCTAAAGGAAGTTGGAATATTTTCTGATAAAACTTCTAATCGTATCAGAAAACTGACAGTCAGACTATTATGCATTTGTTTAGTGGCAAGTGATTAGAGCTGGTCAATTAGTGGTATTTGAAAATTGAATAATTGATCTAAGACTAATTCCTCTCGCTAGTTTCACTTATCTTTAGTGCAGATGCTTTTACCTCCCTGCCAGAGCACGAGGTTGTGTATCATATAACTGACATATCATTTGTTTTACACAATCATACATGAATCTTATATCTATACGTTGCCGCTAGGGGAATCCTGTGTCGGTTAAGGGAATTGAGAGTGTTGCTGCATCATCTTTTTTCGTACTTAATGGTGACAAGGGCAGGACTAGGAATACAATATAAATTTTGTCAGGGTAAGAGTCATCTTCAGCAAAGACGGCTTTATTTTTCTAACAGGTGGTTGGCCTTTGGAATGGGTTACCTTCAGATGTGGTAGGTGCAATTAGTTTAAGGGTGTTTAAGGGAAGGTTTGATAAATATTTAAATAATAAGTGTTTTATTTTTATTTTAAAGTTTAGTAGATGGGAAAGCTTAGTAGCTTGCAGTAACTGTCACCAACTGTTATTTATTTTTTGTTGTTGTTGAACTGCTAACTACAGCGAAGGCAAATGGCTGGTCAATTTTTTTTAATTGTTATTATTTAGTTGTTGTTTTTATTTACTTAAAGCTACCATGGTGTGAGGAGCACCATACTAATCGACTCATAGGATTTTCAATTAGTCGATTAGCAGGCAGGTATCTGAGGACTGAAAAGTTGCTAATGTTAATTCTATTTTAAAAAAGAACAATAAGAGTTGCTCTGGAGGATAAAAAGTTATTTATTCTTACATCTGTAATAGGAAATATTATTAAGAGTCTGATAAAAGAAACTTTATAAAATCATTTAGTGAAATATATGATTAAAGAAAGCCAACATAGACAAATCTTCACTACTAATCTGTTAAAAGGTGTGAAGTTGAACTTTTAAGTTTTCCAAAAATCTACTGACACAAAAGATTAGTTATGAAAATCACATCAGTATGGGTTAGGAAATAAAAATCATTAATTGGATTGTAATTTGTAAGGTGGTTAGATTGGAGAAAGCAAAAGGTTGTTATTAATGGAGTCTAGTCAAATTGGACCCTTGTTACTAGGGGAGCACCTCAAGGGTCAGTGATTGGGCTTTTGTTTTTTCCTTATTATTTTACATTAATGATACTGATAGGGATATTAAATTATTCAGTATTTCTAGCTGTATTGAGGATGTTAAGAATGAGATACTAGTAAATGACTTGAATCAATTGGTAAGTTGAACATGTATTCAGCAAATGACCTTTCATCAAGTTCAAGACAATACAATTGGGTTATCATATCTGGATCATGTGTTTAATATAAGTGGAAACAAACTTTAAAGACAAAAATGGACCTGTTGTTCCATCTAGGCTACTCCATCTTTTAAAAAAAATAAGACACTGAATATTTATCAAGTCTCCCCTTAAACCGTTAAAACTCCTCCAAGAAAAGAATCTTGGCATAACAGTGGTGGATAAGTCACTTAAGCCATTGAGGAAGTGCTCTATTGATAGTAGTAAAGCTAACAGAATTTTAGGATGTATTTATAGGCATATTAATTGAAAGTTAAATGAAGTAATTACCACTATAATAATCGCTTGGAAGGTCTTTCATGGAATAGTGTCCAGTTTTGAGCTACTTATCTAAAATTATAAAGGATTTTGACTTGATGGAAAGGGTTCAGAGGAGAACTATTTAGATGATTTTGGGGATGAAATGATTATAAATAATTATATCAAAGTATAGGTTAAGTTCTCTTAAACTTATTTTCTCTTGAGAAAAGAAGAATCTTATTGACGTTTAGAGCATAATCTGTAGGATCAATAGGATAATGGCTTCTGATTTTTTTAGGAATATTCTGAAGATAATAGGATTAGAGGACACAAACTTAAGATTTAAATAAGACATGACATGCTTCAATTATATTTTCCTAACAATGATACTGACATTTGGAATGAGTTTCTATCAGCAGTAGTAAGTAAACACTTCACAGGAATTTAAGTTATGACTTGATGATTTTCTGAAAAGTAAAGGGTGGGTTTGAATTTTTACTTTATTCAAGTGTAGGTGAGAAAGGAAAACTCTGAAAGACCAAATGGTCCCTGGTTGTCTGTAGTTATGTTATGTTGAATTTGATTTGTTAGACTATGAGGAGCTATATCACGGGCTAACTGTAAGTCTGTGTTACCAACAATTTCAATGCAAGATCATTAAACACTTTAACATCCAACCAATTTCTATGTATACACTCTTGCTGTTATGAATAAAATAAATAGTATTCAGTTATATTTGGGGGGAAATATTTCAAAGTCAAAGCAAATACCTTTTGTGAAATAAATTACCAAAACTTGCAAGTTTTGAATAAAATCATAGCATGTAATAATTAATATGGAAGTACTGATAGTGATATACCAGTTGTTTTTTTGTTACATATAAATGTGTCAGGGGATATAATAATTATATATAGTACACTCAAAATCTGTCAAACATAAGGAAGCAAAACAAGGTTAATATTAGAATAAAGATCGCTTTCAGAACTAAAACTCCTGAATGTATCTCTTACTCTCAATATACTATTTTCTAGGCTTGGTTTCTATTTATTTGCTCTCACTTTTCAGTTTAAGGCACTGGCTCAGAATCACTTGGTGATTAATATTTAAACATTAACCTTATTATTATAATTTAAATTATGACTGTTCTGTAATAAATTATGATATTATTAATAAGCCATTAAGAATTACTAAAGCTTAAAAGTCGAAATGTAATCAATTTACTTTACGTTTCTCCTGATACGTTAGTCTTATACAGAGGATAGTGTTAAAAATTAATTTATTCTGAAAATAAGAAGTGAAACTTAATTTTCTCAAGGAAGTTTTAGATTTACGTTACAGTTTACATACTCTTCACATGCTTGAGAAACATTTACTCTCTGGATGTTGGCTTCTTGACGCAGCTGCATAACTTGGGTTTTCATGGCTTGAACTTGAGACATGGTTTTTACAATACAGCTTAATAAACACAAAGAAACCAAATCTGTAGATTCTCTAAACAAAGTGAAACACTGGCCTCAACAAATAACTCTTCAATGTTGACTACGTTCAACTTAAGCAGTTTAGCTTCTAGTTCCAATCTGTTCTATCGTCTCTTCCCTTTCCCGTTGTAAGACCCTCTTTATTGAGTTCAATTGATATCCTCGGGGAACTAAAGTACAACTGTTGAGAACAGAATACACCAGCTCGTGGTATCTGTGGGAAAGTAATCGAACGAAAAACTGAATTTGGGCGTTGTTAATTGATTGCGCAAACTGCAGAATACGGAATATATAGAATTTAAGTTTAATATATAAATAATTTAAATAAACTAAAATAATTTAGTTACATTGCACCCATGATTTACAAGATGTGTTCACCACCGTAAAAAGATATAAACATATGTATATTTTAATTTCAAGGTGAGCCATGATTATCTATTTACCTCGTAGACTGCTTCTGTAAAACCTACAAATAACTTTATAATGAAATAAATATTTATGACCTGGTTGATAACTTAGGACCACCTTGCAGTCGATTTTTTCTATTTACTACTTGCTAGTATGATTGTAAATATATATGATTTGTATGATCATAGATCATAGTTAATCATTGTCACGAAATTTATATGATTTACTTTTGATTTCTTTCTTATTAAAGCTAGGTTGACATTTTCATTGATGTAATTGACTTGTACGAAAAAAAAAGAGACACATGTAAGTGTAAGTTTACTTTATGTATACATGCCATTTGAAATTTTATCTTCACAAATAAATTTTTCTGGGAAATATACTGTTCGTAGATAATATATAATCATGGATACAAGTCATGCTAAGCGACAAATGCATAGGACAGTAAGCTTCAAAATTACATTTAATACGTGTTTAAAGGTGCTATAAAAAGAGATATAATTATAAATTCATAACGTTTCTATAATTTTGTGTTCTAGTGAAAATTAGTTATACTCATCAAAAT